TCTTCCTGGAATCTGCAAGTTTTGTGTGTTTTATGTTAATCTATCATGCGATCTTTTTTTTGTAGCACGTTACGCTGTCATGGAAATAGAAATAGATTTTTGTTTGAATATGGCAAACATAGTATACTGAACATGGCAAACATAGTACACTGAACATGGCAACTGCAGTACACTGAACACGGCAATTGTAGTACACCAGACATGGCAACTGCAGTACACTAAACATGGCAATTGTATTACACTGAACATGGCAACTGCAGTACAACAGACATGGCAACTGCAGTACACTAGACATGGCAACTGTATTACATTTTCAACTGGCCATCGTCATTTCCACACCAATATTTCCCCCAATGGATGCACATTGCATAAAACATGGCATCTACATTTGAGTAAACATAGCAATTGCATTTTCAACAAACATGGCAGTTGCATTTCAGTAAACATGGCAATTGCATTTCAGCATATGCGTTGACAATATAACATTTTTCAGTTGACATTGGCATTTGCATACCAACATGCCCCAATGGAAGTATAGTTCATTAAACATGGCATCTGCACTTCATTGAACATGGAAAATGTATCCGAGTAAGCATTGTAAACAAAATTTTCATTGAACATGGCAACTGCAGCTGAGTAAGCATGGCAAACATTATTTCATTAAACATGGCAACTGCATATCATGGCAACTGCACTGCACTCTACTAGGCACCTACTGCTTTAGTGCTTTTGCGCAAATAAGACCATAACACAACTAACTTACTTGTTAAAGATCTTGTTTGTGTATATCTTGCTCATTTGCCTCTCCATTGGTAAATACGTTAGCAATTTCGGATGCTTTAGCGCGGTGGTAGCTTCTTGCTGTAGCTCAGATCCCAGAATTTTTTGTTGCAGAGCTGTGTACTGCTTGGCAAACTGTAGCAATGAGTTGCCAGGACTCACGTATCGCTTCAAAACAGCATTGAACCCCTAACTGCGCTGCGTAGTCTGCAGAAAGGGGAAGAAGCACTGCATGAAGTAGGCGGGCACCCAGTACATTCGCTTCTCCCACAGGCTAGCAAGCGTCTCGTTGTCTTGGACTTGATGTGTTTCAACCATGGCCATCCAGCTCCTTTCAAACTCCTCGACCGTCAAGCTATGGTCCACACACAGCTCGAATGCCTTGTGCAGCTCTGGACGGTCAGCAAAGAACGGTCCTAGCGTCTCCTCAGCCTTCTTTATAATGTGCCACCTGCAGTGCCTGTGCACTGACAATGGAAAGACCTCCTCTATGCCTGCACGCATGCTGAAATCCTGGTCTGTTATTATGTTCATTGGCGCAAGTCCATCCATGCACTCCAAGAAGGTCTTGAACAACCAGACGTACCCATCCGTGTCTTCGTTCCGAACGAGCCCGCAGCCGAACTGCAATGACTGATTGTGGTTATTTATTCCTATGAACGGAGCGCATGGCATCTTGTACATATTGGTGAGGTACGTCGCGTCGAATGAAATGCAATCTCGGAAATGTTTGTAGGCTCTCCTTGCAGCACCATCCACCCAATACATGTTCCTGACACGGTCCCCATCGTCCAACCTTATCCTGTAGAAGAAATCTGGATCTTCCTTTGCTTTCTCATCGAAGTAGGAATTGTAGCCTCTATGTCAGCCAGCCTGCTCTCTCTATGGTACTTGGCCTGTAGGTTTGTGATGTCAGCCGGTATGTACGGCATGCTACTAAGCTTCCCCTTTTTGCTGTGGATGAGTGATAGTATCTGGACCATTCTTGATGGACCGACGTTACAATCATGTAGCAGCTTTACGAATTGCCTTTCGACTGGGGTGAATCCTCTGTGGGCGGTCAGAAATTTGACCAGGTCAAACTTCTTTATGAGTTTGTGGTTGTGCTCATCAAAATATTTAGTTACCACATACTGTGTTCCATCTACGTTTAGCTTACACCGGACAGGGCATCCCGTCTTGAGAATGATCCCTCTTTTTCGTTCCGGAATGACAGGCGCAACACCTTTCCCCTTCTTGTTCCTCCGTGCCTTGTGGCACCTCATCTCACCTCTGCTGTACTCGTTAGTTTTCTTTATTTTCCTATGGTACTCGGTGTTGACCGCAAATCCATGGAACTTTGCATATGTCTGGTAGTATTCCTTTGCTTCTTCGAACGATTCAAATCTCTGCCCAATGTACGGTGGCTGAGGTACCACGATCTCTGATTGCCCACCATCTTCATCCCCTTCTGCCTCGTCGTCAGTTTCATCATTCACTTCAGTATCGGCGGCAGTTCCATCCACTTGAGTGTTGGCAGTGATTGTGTTCAAAGGGGTGCTTGTCGGTATTGCTGGAATGATGCATATGTCTGGTAGTATTCCTTTGCTTCTTAGAACGATTCAAATCTCTGCCCAATGTACGGTGGCTGAGGTACCACGATCTCTGATTGCCCACCATCTTCATCCCCTTCTGACTCGTCGTCAGTTTCATCATTCACTTCAGTATCAGCGGCAGTTCCATCCACTTGAGTGTTGGCAGTGATTGTGTTCAAAGGGGTGCTTGTCGGTATTGCTGGAATGATTGCCATTCCCGACTGTGACTCGAAATTGTCTGCGGCATGATTGTCTGCTGGCTGGTGGAACGTGTCTTCCGTGCGCTCAGAGCTCCCCGCAGTAGATGTCCCCGCGCCGCTGTTAACTGTAGTTGTAGGCCCTATAATAGGAAAAACAGGTATGAGATTAAGTTTTTTGTTTGAATAACATGTGTATCGCAACGGATCACACCATCTACGAGTGATTTGGCATGACATCATTTCAAACAGCAAGCCGTGAGTCCGCGTGTGGACATGCACGGCAGCTATAGCTGTCCAGTGATGGCAGCTACTGTTCAGCAAACATGGCAACTATCATTTTTGCATACAAATAACTACAAATAACAAATGTAGTACTGTTTTGTGGTTTAGTTTTTTCCTTACCTTGTTGTGCTGCATGTGACCATCTTGTGTGGTCTGTGACACCAAAATGACGTGCTCCACCTGCAATTTGTGAAGCTTGCCACGAGACGTTTGCCGGGTTACCACCACCGTAATAACATGTAAGCATAGTAGTGGTTGGTCAATTCATGGCAAATGCATTTTGTGCTAGCACGGCAACTGCAGTTACCCCTAATGTGGCAACTGTAGTTTTATTGGCATGGCAAATGTATTTGCATCGGCATGGCAACCGCAGATGTTCCTTCGTGGCAGCTGCAGTTGCCATGGCATGGCAAATGTAGTTGCACTGGCATGGCAACTGCAGTTGTTCTTCCCTGGCAACTGTAGGTGTCCATGGATGGCAACAACAGTTGTGCAGGGATGTCAAATGCAGTTTCTAATACATGGCAACTGTAGATGCCCAGTCATGGCAATTTGTAGTTGTCAACTATGCTCCTTCTGCTAATTGATCATCCGCAACTTCATCTTTTTTATGGACTGACCTGTGTATGACGTCGATGGCAGGTACATTGGTGCTGCCTGATGCCACGCGCTGCATGAAGGCTTTGCATTTTCACCCGTGGTAACTCGTGAGTCCTTTTGCCAGTTTTTTTGCATGTTCATTTTTCATGTCCACAATAGTATGCGCTCTTTTCTCGTTTTTGCATTACCTTGAATATCCATACAAGCTAGTTGAAGTTGGCTGCCCGTACATTTGTCAGTGTTAGCGCCTTGTGAGTGAACTTGCCACGGGGGCCCCCTAATTGTGTTTTGGTCATAAGAACCTGCTCAAAAATGACAGTGCACGACATAAGTAGAATGTCATCTTCATCATTGCGAAGATGGCAACTGTTCTCTTCTTTTGTTATCACGCATCATACCTACGCCTGCATACTGTTCTAGTAGTGGCAGCAACGGCCCTGAAGAGATGAGCTGACTGTACTCTGTTGCATCCCAAGGGGCTGTTTCTGGCCTTTGAGAACCCCAGGCACCAGCGCCATCTTCGTGATTCATTCTTTTCCGTGTCTCCCTTCTTTCCAATGTGTTCTCAATCACTGCATGAACAAGAAGGCATCAACAATCCACAAGAATTGTATTCTTCTGCTGCTTGCACATAGAAGATATGGATGGTAAGCGACGGGTCAAAATAGGTGGCAGCTACTGACAACGAAAGGTGGCAACTGTCGTTATACACAAGTGGCAATTAATTTCTTCTAGCCCTCTTCATTCCAAAATTTGCCCCTACTGTCCTTCTTTAGTGATTCCTACTCATCCCTTTTTCATACCCAACTACTTGCGTCAATTAAACTAGGAAGTTAAGTCAATTTCAAACGTAGTACATGGCAGATCTGGTGTACTCTGCCTGGCAATTGCGACTACACACTGAACCATGTAGTGTTCTACCCCTATAGCATAGATCCAGCACAAGATCGGGAGATTTTCAGCCTTAAGGATGAGAAGGTCGAGATCGGGAGATTTTCACCTGGTTTTTAGATGATCATCTCTGGAGGGCTGGGTTGGAGTTTGGGAATGGGGGTGGGGAGGGTTGGGATGTGGTTTTGAGGTGGGAGTGCCCTACGGATCTGCTCTGTTTGCCATGGCAACCAGAGAAGGCCGGCGACAGAGGTCGGGGTTCGAGAGGTGGGGGACGATGGCGGCAGACGAGAGAGGGGATGGATCGGAGGCCGGGAACTGCTTGGTCGTGCGGGCAGCGGGTCGGCTTGCCCGGACGGGGAAATGCGGGCGGGGTTGGCATGCAACGGACGTGCGGGCCGTGCGTTTGTGCGCGCAGACGTGGTCGTGCGGGCCGGTTCCCGTCCATGCCACACGAGGTGTGCGGGCGGGTTCCCGTCGATGCCACACGTGTGGCAGTTATTCGGACCCTTAAATTAAATTATTTTCGGAGGGAGTTTTGACTCCTTGGACAGCCAAGCACGACCCGACAACCCAGATCTGGACTTCTTTTTTATGGCTCACGAGCAGAAGGGGATCAAACATCAAAGCATCTCTGCTCTCTTGCAGCAGCTAGCAGCACGGAGGTCTAGCAATGGCCGAGAAGGGAGTGAAGGTGTTCGGCATGTGGGTGAGCCCGATGGCCATCCGGGTGGAGTGGGCGCTCTGGCTCAAGGGCGTCGGGTACGAGTATGTCGACGAGGACCTCGCCAACAAGAGCGACGCGCTGCTCCGCCACAACCCGGTGACCAAGAAGGTGCCGGTGCTGGTCCACGACGGCAAGCCGATCGCCGAGTCCACCATCATCGTCGAGTACATCGACGAGGCGTGGAAGGACGGATACCCCATCATGCCGGCCGACCCCTACGAGCGCGCTCAGGCGAGGTTCTGGGCCAGCTTCGCCGACGACAAGGTACACGCATATGCTCTGTCTGTCCAGTAAAGCACCCCTGGAGTTCTGGTCCGCGGTTGCTCTGATTAAAGGAAGCATTGGGCCTGGTTTGTCTAGTGCAACGCCGCCATCTACCTAGTCTTCACGGAGACCGGCGAGGCGCAGCGCGAGGTGGTGCGCGAGGCCCAGCAGTGCCTGAAGACGCTGGAGAAGGCCCTGGAGGGGAAGAAGTTCTTCGGGGGTGACACTGTCGGCTACCTCGACGTCGTGGTTGGGTGGTACACGTATTGGCTGCCGATCATCCAGGAGGTCTCCGGCACCAGCGTCGTCACCCACGAGGAGCTGCCTCTGATGAAGGCCTGGTTCGACCGGTTCCTGGCCGTCGACGTGGTGAAGGAGACCCTGCCCCCGAGGGACAAGCTCCTGGCGCTCAACAAGGCTCGCCATGAGCAGCTCCTCTCGACGTAGAGCTTCCAGCTAAGTAAGCTTTGATGCCATGGATAAATAAGCGTTGCGCACTTTGCACATTGTGCAACAAATGTTTGGAACTTCATTCAGCCGCCTGCTTCACATTCCCAGTTTCCGTTATATTCATCCATGATGTTTTTATTTGAAACTAGGCAAAGCCACTTCATTGATTGAGAAAGAAGTTTAGGTGCAAAGCGGTGGAAAATAAAGCTGCTCTCACAACATTTGCAGTACTCAAATGCTTGGCGCCCGCCATGTCCCACATTTGACCCGCGATGGCGTTACGTAAGACCCTAGCATTGTGCTCCGCCCAAATCTCCCAAGAGATGAGCATCATCAAGGAATCAAGTGCCTTGGTAGATGCTTGACGAACTTGCAGATTACCGTTCCACCAATCTATCACCGACGCAATTGTTGCCCAAGTACTCGGCATGATGTAGTGAATGTCCAGCCACTGAAGGATGCCATTCCAAATGCGAATCGTGAGGATGCCGTTCGAAATACGAATCGTGATGCAGCACTGGGATGCAGATTCCCGAACTTGCTTGCACAGGGGGCCAAGGTCGCAATTGGGCCACCCACGATGGATTAATCTATTAGACATCCAGACTCTGTTACATAGGGTTCGCACGCTTAACATTCGATGACGATTTTGTATTATATGAGTTATGTGATTTGGTGACCGAATGTTGTTCACAGTCCCGGATGAGATCACAGACATGACGAGGAGTCTCTAAATGGTCGAGAGGTAAATATTGATATATAGGATGATAGTATTCAGACACCGGAAGTGTTCCGAAGTGTATCGGGTACATA